CAGCACTCTCTTCCGGCTTTGGGTCAAGACCAGCCGCCGATCGGAAGGCGCTCTCGGATATGATGACTTTTTGATTGTATGGGCTACTGTAAGGTGACCGCTCTGCACACCTCGATGGGTGATGCTGTGTTTTCCTTCGGAATACTAATGTTAGTATTGCCTAGGTCGCTGGCGTTGCCGAATGTATTGCTGGCCTAGTCTACGGTCTGCCGAAATCCGACTTGGTACAATTAAATATTCTAACTGCGAGATAGGTGCGCCACATGGACCCGGCCGCCATGTCGAGACTCTCAAACCAGAAGATGTTTCAACGTATCTTCAGGTTAACTCTTTCATCAATTTGGATGACACCCCGGGGCTCTGCTTTCTGACTAGAACTAGGGCGACTATATCTTCAGTCACTTTTACGATTTTGCGATCGTGAGCACAAAGCTCTCTGTCCTCGCGCTTTACTACCGTATTTTTATCACAACCAAGATCAGGGCTGTAATATCCGTTACCTTTGCCCTCGTACTCGCTTGGCTTATCGCAATGGAAGTTGTGCTCGGTCTTGGCTGCCAGCCCATCCAGGGCTGGTGGGACGCTTCACAGGCCACTACCGCCAAATGTGTCGACAAAGTAGCATTCACCTACTCGACAAACATATTGAATCTTATTTTCGATATCTGGATATTTTCGATGCCTATTCCCGTCATATTAAGTTTAAACATGCATAAGGGGAGGCAAGTCGCCCTCTGCGTGCTTTTCTCCATCGGACTAGGTGTCTGCGCTATCAGCATCGCCCGTCTCTCTGTTGTCTTCTCAGCCGCCTCTAATGACGTTACTTGTGAGTAGTTCTGTTATTATGTGATCATCTCGTGCATTCACTCACATCATTGATCAGGGCAGGAGGTGCCCCTCGGTATTTTATCTGCCTGGGAGCCATGTGGCGCTATTCTTTGCGCCAACCTTCCTATTATATACCGAACACTCCGCGAAATGTCTTCTCGTACGAAAGCGAGCTTACAGCGCTCTAATACTCCAAGAAACAATGCCGGGTTTCGATCAACACGGCAGGAAGACTCAGGGATTATTGATTGGATCCGGTTAGATGGTAGCGACAACGAGGGCGATAACAGATTTCTCACTGGGTCTGCCAGGCATTTAAATGACAAAATCGGACAGCAACTCGGTACAATCGACATTCGAAGGCCGCATCGACAGATGGCACATATTCACAATCGGGATGACGATAGGAGCAGTCGACCGAATGTCGAATCTCAGAATGTACAATGAATTTTTTTTGATCAGACGGGAGGGCCTTTATAGCAGGCTCTGATATGCAGGTTTCCCTGATCACCTTTCTACTGGACTTTGCGTGTCGGAGAGCATTTCCTGGTACACGACTGTCACAAGCAGCGATGTAACAACGCAATTGGAAGGGGGCAGATTAGAGGTAACGAGCCCAAGATTTTTGACTTCGAGAGTGATTACGTTGTTCCTATCATGGGTAGGACAGCAGAATGAGCAGAACTCCATTATTCATCTCTTTGGCTGCTGAATTTAGGACATCTGATCATACATGAACTAGGATTCTGTGACTCTACATTCCCTTAAATCGTACCCAGTCTACTCAAACTCCCATGCGAAAGCCATCATTCAGGCATCACAAGAGAAGTTGTCGAGTGAGTTCTTGCTGCATGTGTAGCCCGGCCATGGCGCATCCCATTTTCCTGACGCCGTTTCGTAATTGTGCCACTGAGGCACCCCTCTCCATTTGAACAAGTCTTCAATTGCAGATGCGGCACGGATAAGCTTCGTCTCGCCCCATTGTCGCCCCCAAAGACAGAGACCAAAAGGTACAGAATATCCGGTCTGTCCAACAGGTACGGTTGCAATCGGGTAGCCAGCATACGATGGAATAGAGGCGCAGGCCTGACTGCCACCGCCAACATCATCGTTAGGCATTAGGATCGCATCTAACTCGATGACTGTGCCATTTTCGAGCGTATAAGCATGGCTCCCATCGATTGCTGCCTGCGCTGTACGCCGGCCCCAGCCGAAATTGGTCCAGAATGCATCGTCCTGGCTGCCGTTGGTAGCGACGGCAAGATCATAGAAATCCTGTCCAGTCTCTGTATCAGCCCACCAGTAGCCATCGCCTAATGCACCGGTACTAGAGTTGTGCGCATCGTTCCACTCAGCCATCTCGGACAGGGCGCTCATTCCATAACGAGAATCACTCTCAGGAAAGGTCCATTTTGTGAGCCACTCTCCATATGCGACTGCAAGGAGGGCTGTGTATACAGACAGTTGTAGATATTTGTCTGGAATATCAGAAGGCTGACCGAAGCCATAAGGGTTGGCAATCTGCTGAATGCCGGGGATGTACTACTACACTTCAGTGCTGGATTCTGAGATATGCGACGGCTCGACTCACACTGATGTTGTAGATCTCGGCTCCAACAACCTTGAGCTGATCGATGATTGCATCATATTTGACTCTTTGATCAGGTGCGTTAATCGCCTAAATGATGAATTTGGTCAACAGACAGTTTGTCGATAAGACAGTGACTGAACTTACTGGATTGGTAGACCAGTAAGGGTTCCAAGGCAAGCCCAGTTTCATTCCCTTCAGGCTTGCCTTCTTAGACACGTATGATGCATATTTCTCGGTCGGATAGTGAGCCAGTGCATTCCAGGTCAGGTTGTCATACTGGTCAGCTCCAGTGATTGCATCCAACACGTATGCGATGTCTTTCATTGATCTCGCCAAGGGGCCCGAAGTATCGTGGTAGAAGCTCCCAGGGATAATGCCATGACGCGATGCGAATCCAGGTGTCGACTTGATTGTATAGAGTCCAAGATGAGAAGAGGGGTGAACCAAGGAACCATGCGTCTCGCTTCCGAGAGCAAAGACTGCCTGGTTGATGGCGACGGCCACAGCAGAGCCTCCACTGCTACCAGAGGTTCCCTGCGTAAGGTTGTAAGGATTTCTTGTCTGATCTGCTCGAGTTGAATATCCGTCGGAGAAGTTCGTCAGAGCTCTGTGATCAGCAGCCTCAGAGAGAGAAGCGTGAGCAAGTAAGACACCTCCAGCTGCTCGTAGCTTGGCCACGACCGTCGCTTCCTCGGGATACCTTCCTCCTAGCAATACGAGACCACCTTCTGATGTGTTGAATTTGTCTTGAGTGTAATGATTATCCTTGACAACGAATGGAATGCCGTGCATCGGACCTCGGGCACCAGATTCTGTCCGCTCCTTATCGAGAGCCTGGGCGATGGAAAGTGCATCAGGATTCACCTCGCTGATTGAGTGCAAATACCTGCGCCATGCTATCAGCATCGCTCAAAAAGACATGTCTCGGGATGTATCACTCATTAGTTTGCTTAATACGAGCCAGATAACACTGAACAAGCTGCTCACTCGTGACCTTGTTTCGACCTAACCAGAATTGCAAATCATCGATGGTCGCATCCTAAATGAACAACCCGTTGCATAGTGGCATAGGAAACGGGGTGTTGCTGCTTGTCTGGTTGCTAGTCGGATAGTTGCTCGGGTTGCATCCCGCGGTCACGTCTCGGACGAGCGTACCTATGGCCAATGCCACGAGGGCGGGCACTGTTACGACTTTCATTTGCAGGTTGGACCAAGAAACCCAGCTCCAGAGCAGCAATCCTACAACGGCTTGTCGTCATTCTCTTATATAACATATCTCCTACTCCATCTAAGCCGTCCGTAAAGACCCATTTGAACATCATTGGGAGATAAGCATGAGCTTGCGGCAGCGATATGGGTAATGCAATCCTCTCACGGACCAGAATCAAAGCCCACATGGCATAGGGAACTTAGTGATGAATCAATTTAGTAGGCGAACTAGAAATAGTTAGGCCGCCGCGATATCTAACGCCTACGCCCTCATGAACCTCCAATGTCGGACATTCCGACGTCGAGTCCCTGATAGGTAGAGAGGATTATCGGTCGAAACTTTCATATTGAACGCTGCTACGATGCGAATACAGTATGGTTTACTCAATGTCTTGAAAGATTTACCACTACTGCAGTTACTATGGCGGTTTGGAACGCTTCGCGTCATCTTGGCCATGTGCACGCTGGATGACCTAAACTAATGATAGGTGTCGCGATTGTGAGCTAGAGGCAATCAGTCGAGGATGTTGGTTCACCGGGGTCGGAAACGTGCGCCGTTCATTATTGCTCTATCTTTGGATGCTGGCTATCATGAGAAATGCCGATCGAACCAATAGAGGGCTCCGCTGAGAATCGAATCAGTCAGGACGTTGCGGTTGTCCCGACTCGTCGGTGCAAACATCTTCGGAAACGTGCAGGTGTTTCTTTAGTTTCTAAATAGTATCAGTACAATTTGTATATTCCTTATGCGCAATCTGGCGGCTTCAGATTGGTGCGAGGTCAAAAATGAGGACCAAAAAGTCCAGACTAGTGTTTGAGGCGGTTCTATTCTGTGATCAGCGTTTGTGCTCGTGCATGTACAATATGCATGCCGGACCAATGCTTCTTAGCGGCAAACCTGATCGAATGCGCCCATTAGATGAGAAGGCCAGTAGTCTTGGGCAGTGAGAACCTACATTACCCGCCCCCCTCAAGGACATTTTTCGAGTAAGAAAATGGGTTTCTGACCGACACGAGTCTAAGAAAAGAACAGTCTCCTGCAGTCGAACTCCAAATTGTTGCTATGCTTGGTCTCGAGGGACTGAAAAGAGTATATGTCGATATTATAGGCGAGGGTAGACCCCACAGAGTGCGGCGTACATGTTCACCTCGGTTGACAATTACACGCAATGCATTTCTCCGACAGCTGTAAGAAAGTATTAACGATTAAAAGCATGATGTTGCTTAGGCGCATTAATTCAATTGGAGTCATGATCATATCGCTGTGCGTCGTGTCTTCCCATTATCCCATTAATTGAGGCAAGCGATCCAGGAGGGATATGAGAACCAAAAAAAAGAAGTTTGGATGAGGAACTGATCATCAAGAAAAAAACGACAACTGCCTGATTCGAACAGACGCTCCCGAAGGAATCAGATTTCGAGTCTGACGCGTTAACCACTCCGCCAAGTTGCCTTGTTTGATGAAAGAAGACATTTTATTGGAGGCCATATCCTGTGTACTCCACCTCCTACATTAGGATGTGTCCACCAGATTCACCACAAACTTCTTCCCCTACATCATACAAAGACGGATCTAAACTGTGCAACTGTTGGTAGTTGATTGAACTAGCTGAATGAATAATACATTATGTTCTCTTGAAGTTCACAACAGCGATTTCAGCTTCAATGCCTGGCGAATCAAGACTGATGTCTTCTGGGCTACTGCTATTTTAGCTTATACTTAGAATTATGATCCCGTCACTTCAGATATACTGGTAGAACTATGTCTGCGCTCTCCCTGTCTGTTTCCGATAGTTTGTTATGGTGTGACGCCGCTATCATGCGTTCCACCTTCAGGAGATGCTAGAGATAGACAGAGGGTGCCAGTTTATATAGGCCTGCAAATCTCGCAACACTATGTACCAGAAATAGATATGAACCAGTCAACTTCCAGCAGAAGTTGAGACTTCATACGACGATTAGAGCTGCTTCTTTAGGGGTCATGGTGAGTTAGGTGGACCTCGTAGGGCTTGAGGTTGGCCACAGATTCGAGCGTCGATGTCTTCTCAGCGACAACAGTGCAAGAAATGGAAGGAGCAATGGAAGAGTTTTTTTGTTGCCAGTGAATGGGTTAGCCTCAAGCGACAGGTATTCATTCGCCCGTGTGGGCCATTTCCTCCCTCAGCCCCTCGTACTCAAGGCAGTTGCTGGACAATGACAGTTCCCTCAAACACCACATGAACTGTGTCTTGGTGTACCACCAGATGATTGTCAGCCTGGTAGTCTTCTGAGCTAAACACACTGCAGCTTCACTTTCTCAGATCCTTTCCAGCCAAAACGCATCACCCTCCTACCACCTCACCTCCAGCTCTAGACAGGCTCCAACTCGACCTCACTCGAGTAAGATTTGCCACCATGCCGCAGAACAACAACGACGATGCAGGAAAGCTGGACAAGTTTCATTTCTTCCCAGAACTGTCTCCCGAGCTACAGCTTCTGGTCTGGAAGCTATACCGCGAAGACCAGCCCGTCCTCTACCACTTCATGTCTGTAACTGGACAGGGGCGAGTGTACGGCGCACGCGATCCTGAAAAGAATGAACTGGTCACAACGACAGCCCAAAGCGCAAACCAGGACGACGAAGATGGACAAGCACTCGATCCGGCCGAGTACAAGATCCGATTCGTCAACAAGGTTAAGATGGGTATCAACCTTGACCAATATGTTCACCCTTCGCATCTGGGACATAATCTTACCTGGCTTGCCGGGTTAGTGGATGAGATTGCTACCAAGACGGGACAATGGAAAAGCACTGCGACTACATGGGTCAACTTCGAGAAGGACATCTTCTTCCTCTCTTCCACCTATCACAAGCCTGGCCAGCTCCGATTCCTCTTTCAACACTACAGCAAAGAAGACCCGGAAGATATTCCTGGCGATAGCTGGGCCCATCGCATCCGACAACTGGCTATGTACTTCTGCGACGACTCTTCCTTGACCGATTTTGATCGCCATGCTCTTGGGCAGCTCCGTGGTCTGCGAAAAGTGTACTTGGTTATAAATCGAAACACCTGGGATACTTTGAATATAACACTCAAGAGTATCGACGATAGCATGGCCAAGTACCAGCAGCATGCCAAACAGCCTATCAGCCACAAAGCAAACCGTCTGATTCAGCGATGGACCAAGGCGCGGGCCATTCGAGACGAGCTTCGACAGATATTTCAGACCGCAAACCGTTGCGGCATCGTTATAGACATAGTGTCTGAGGGAGCACTACCGATGCTACTTCCGCAAAACTTCGGATGATCGCTATAGACACAGTGTCTGGGGCAGATGTCCGATACCATTTCCGCAAACCATCACACTATCGCTAGACACAGTGTCTGAGGGAGCACTACCGACGCAACTCAACTTCCGAGTCAGTAGAGGATCGCGTACGCGCAGCTTGGCCAAGGGGGCTGCCACTAAGCGTCAAAACGAAGGCACAAGGTTCTACCTTTCGTCATCATCAGTCTCTCCCAACGATCCAGGAACGAATAAAACAAGATGCTACCAGTAGGTAATGCTCCAAACTCCACCCCTGTTCTCAGTCCCCAAGCTAACGCGCTCTCCTCTCAGGTCGCCAGCATGGTTGGCTTGATAGCGCGACTGGCTGTGCTCTAAGCCTCATCCACACGCGCACATCAATCTGCGTTAGACGAGATTACAGCCCGACGAGAAGTGTTTTATCTTTCCGGCTACACGTGTACCTAGAGAATCGTAGCTTGCGAGGTAGCTAATGACCCGTTGCTCTGGGCGTATTCTATCGTTCGTATGTGCAGTTGAATCTGGAGTGGTCTCGCGAGCCATATGTTCCCTGATTCATGTGATAATGGACTGCTGCCATATGACTCCCATTGGGATGGCTCACACTGCTACCATCACACCAGTTGATCTACGTAGTTCGAAACGGAAACATCCTTTTCTTCCCCTACCCGTGCTCCGGCAAGCTCATAAACATGCGCCTAGTTTCAGGGCACTCGTTACTCACCACACCTACATAAGGCCATTGGGCGCGCTGTCTTTGAGTCGTCCAACTTTCTAGCTACTAAAGGTACAACACATCCTCAAGCAGGGTCGGAAGCTAGACCGTCAAATGCCTGCAAGGCCTGCGAGATGTATGTAATGGTAGTCAAGCTGTGGACCAACATGGAATAGTCCCGAGCCCCTTGCGTTCTAGGAACGTGGACGTAGCAAGATAGTATCCGGTGAAGTAATGATGCGGTGATAGCATGGGCTCGTGTACGGGCGTCCTTCCATCAATCACTCTATCGAGGGTTCAACAGGGAATCTAGCTGGATCACTATTCGATGCGACGACCAAGATGAATCCGTCGTCGAAGACTACACTAAGAGTGGGAAGAGATCGGGTCGTATTTGGCGATTCGTGTCTCCGGCGTTCAATCCGGTCCATCCATGTTATAATCGTAATCCACCAGCTCTGTGGATACAAATGATCATCCGATGTAGAGTTGCGGAACACAGGGAGAAAGAATCCAGCATTCTATTGTGTAAGGGTATCGTACAGATGCTTCTCAAACCCATTCTACCGCTCAACGCGCTCCGCGTAACAAACGTGATGCCACGCCCATCCATTCGTTCTCAATCTCATTATCATCGATGTCGTAATCCACGCTCTCAGCACCCACCATCGATCCGTTCGACAGCTCATTGTAAAGGCCTCGGGTGGTGTCCAGCCCGCGCCTCGGACTCAACAGCCTTTTTGCCGCGGTGCTCTTGTTCGCGTCGCGCGATCATCTCGTCGACGGCGTTGATGTCTTGCTTGCCCTTCTCGGTGATGGATTGGTTCTTGAGCTCCGAGGCTTGGGTGGTGGGGTGATCGCGGTTGTCGAGGGTCTGGTCTGCTGCCTCCATTGCGCTGCCGCGGATGGCGTCGCCGGCGCCGCGGATGCCCTTGATGCCCGTCTTGACGTCTTCGATGATTTGGTTTGGCATGGTGGATGTGGGTTTGTTTTGGTAGGGTATGGATGCGGTGAGCTTGTAATCGAAGGGGGTGGAATGAAGCCTGTAGGGTTGGGTTGTTTAGATAGTGTATCTGTGTGGTATCGAGTAGGCAGTAATGGTCAAACGGTTGGGGAAAATAAGGTATGTATGCCGGGCTGAAAGAGATCAATACTCACCTTCCTTTAAAACCAGTTGAAGAGTCAAATTGATTGTGCTCTATTCAAGGCACCTGCAGGGCATTACATCAAGAGCCGAGAATGATGACGTAGCCCTTGGCCAATCACCGCCGATCAACCGTCCCAAAAAGGCGAAGACCTGGATGGATCAGTCATTATTCTTCTTGGCGAGAGATTTTGACAACTTAACCTGAGCGCGGGTGAGAGAGATGTGATTTTAAGAATCTGTCAGATCATTGTGTGACTGAGATATCTTTATTCATCATCCATTTTTGAGAGCAAGTGCCTGTGTACCTCCCAGTTATTTATGTGCCAGGTTGTAGAGAGGAGCGCAGGTCTAGACGCAGCAAATTCATGACATCCATACCATAATAATCGACATCCCGTGTTCAACCCATATTTCACCTCTTGGTGCATTCACCAAATTACACTGAATGTATCATTTCTGAGCTTCCTATCCCCTAGCTGGTGATACTTGCATAAGGATAATCGTCTATCAAACAATCTGTTGGTACGCAAAGTCACTGTATCATCTGCCATCAATACCAGTGGCAGCGCAAATGTCAGTGCCCATGACATCGCCGAGGTCTATCATACTTACTCTCGGCCGTCTATTCGCCGATTACCTAGGTACTCTATTCGCCAACCGCTCACTATCATGTAAAGCATCATGTCACAATACTCATGCCACCAAATCCACATAGAAACCAGTATGGAGGCAACGCGAGGTCAGATTACTATCGATCTACCTATATACGCTTGATACGGGCTGTAGACGACCATGATGCAATGTCATGTCAACACTCTCCGTAGATGGCCATACCATATTGACCACTGCCATAAAGTCTCCCTACTGTTCCTTTCTCATCTGAAAGGCGTATGCTCAGGCGAAAAAGCAGGACAGGTGTCGAGAGCGAGACAGACAACCTGATGCTGGCCTCAGTTATAGATGTCCTCTTCCTCCTCGTCATCGTCAAGGACAACCGGATCGGTGGCAAGCTTGGGGGCGGGCTTGGTGGCGCGGGAACGCTTGGGGGCGGGCTTGGTGTCGTCGCTGATAGCGCCTCTCTTACGCTTGGGCTTGAGTCCGTCGCCTCCATCGTCAGACAGGTAGGCGTCGGCAGCGGCAGGAGCAGGTCTCTGGCGACCCTTGGCGAGAAGGGCCTTGACCTCGGCGTCCTTGGCCTTGGCGGCGCTGGTGTCTCCGAGCTGGTTGAGAGTGTCGGCCTCGCCCTTCTTGTCGAGGTTGGTAGCCATGTCGACGGTGAGCTTCTTCTTGGCGGCTGTTCAGT